CCCAGCCGCACCGTCCCCTCCAATCCCTACCCGCCCCTCACCCCCACCTCCTCAAGGACCCCTCCCACACTCACCCTTCTCCCCAAACCCTATTCCCTCCAGGTGTTTAATTTGGGGGGCCTGGCTGTGTCTGTTTGGGGGAATCAAGGAGGGGTCTCCTCCTTGTTTGGGTTGTTCCCTGCACCCACCCAGCCAGCCCCAGAGCGCAGTGGCGTGGCGGGAGCCTAGCAACGTCTCACTCGCTGATGAATAAAAGCCATGCGTTGACTGACTTTTCTTCGGCCTGCTGCACGGCGCCCAGGAGTGCGCCTCTAGTCCTGGGCACCCAGGGTGCTCCTGCTGGTGTCCCCCAGACGCTAAGACATAGGGAGAGTGAGGCTGCTTGACCACTACGCCACCAGGCGGCTTCTCAAGCTGGACACACGGTGTGCCTTTGCGTGGCTTGGGGCTCACAGTGAGCCTAAAACCGTTTCATAGGGCTTTCTTTAGGGGAGCAGAGCCTCACCTTTCTCCTGTGCAGTGGCGGGCTGGGAAGTCCAGTGCTTCACTTGCTGCGTCACCAGTGTGTCTCTTCGTATGTCCGATCCCGGCCCTCTACATGGCCAATGGTCTGTTTTGTAAAGTCAGGCTTTGGGCCCGTTTGAAGGTTCAGGAACTTTTTGTGATGAACATTCTCAGTGTCCCTACCTGGTGATGGTGGCATCGGGTAAAGAGGCTTTCCTCGTTTCTCAAACTGTGATGGTGAGAGTGAAAGACGGGAGAAAACACACCCAGTCCTGTTCTTCCTCTTCCCTTCCTCCTGGTCCAGCCCGCTGCCCTCCCTTCACCTCCTGGGCTCTTGTTCGCCCACCTCCTCACAGCCCCACCCCAAGCCATTGTCAGTTCCCGCCACAGCTGGGAGGGAGAGAGCGGGCACCTTCAGCCAGACATCTTGCCCCCGCCCACCACCCTGACCCCAGAGGGCCAGTGGAAGAGTGAAGGCGTTTGCCCTGTTGCCCTGTGGATGGTTAGTGGGAGAAGTGGAGATGGGCTGGGGACAGATCCTCTGACCTCTCAGCACAGGGGACTGGAACTCTGGCATCAGGACCAGTCCCCTCCCTTGGGGGGAGGTCTCAGAGAAGGTGTGATGAGCACCTGGGAAAAGCTGTCCACCCACAGGGCCTCTAAGCCACTAAAAAAAACCTGTCAGGTTTAAAATCAGGAGATGGGTGCGTGTCACGGTTGTGTCCCTTCACCATATGTACTCAATCTGTCTGCTGAGCAAATAATCCAAGGCACTGGACCATATGAAGAAGAATGCAGTGGCAGGATGGATAGGAGGGAGGCTTATTTAACATCCTTCACTATGCAGATGATGCAACCTTGCTTGCTGAATGCCAGGAGGCCCTGAAGTGCTAGCTAATGAAGATCAAGGACCACCGCCTTCAGTATGGATTAAAATTCTTTTTTATTTTTTCTAAAAATATGCAAAGCTTCGCAAATTTGCCGGTCATCCTTGCTCAGGGGCCATGCTAATCTTCTTTGTATCGTTCCAATTTTAGTATATGTGCTGCCAAAATGAGCACAGTATGGATTACAATTCAAGTTAAAGCAAACCCAAATCCTCCTAACTGGACCAATAGACAACACCACGACGAGACACAGAAAAGACAAGTCGCCAAGGATTTCATTTTGCTTCGATCCACAGTTAATGCTTATGGGAGCAGCAGTCAAGAAATCAAATGGCATAGCGCATCAGGCAAATTTGCTGACAAGACCTTTAAAGAGTGTTGACGAGAAAGGATATCATGTTGAAGACTAAGAGGGACCTGACCCAAGCCATGATGTTTCCAATCACTTCCTATGCATGTGAAAGAAGTCAGACGTTGAATCGGGAAGACTTGATGCATTTTGTATTAGTCTGGGTACTTTAAAGAAACAAATCCACAGAAACTCAGGTATAAGAGAGAGTTTCATATAAAGGTTAAGTGTGCATCAAGTAAACATCCCAACCCAGTGCTGCCCAAGCCCACAAGTCCAACATTAACCCATATGTCCAACACCAATCCACAAAGTCCTCCTCCATCTCACAAAACACACACTACGATGCCGACTGCAGGAGGAAAGCCGAATCAGTGAATGTGTAAGCAGCTCAGCATTGGCAGGGGTCTCCCCATGGCTGCTCCAGCATCCAGGGCTGCATCGGGGTAGGTCCATGTGGCTCCTCTTCTGGGACGTCTTGCAGGAAGTGAGCCTTGCCAGCTGAACCAGCAAGGAACTGGCTAAGGCAGCTGCCACCCTGGTCTGACCATCAGAAAGCAAGAGACCCGAGAACTAGAAAGGTCGTGCTCATGGAGCCATTTAGCCCTCCGCTCTTCAATTAACCCCAGATGTGTTTATCAGCCAGGTTGGCACAATAAACTAACTATATATCACATTTGAAGAGTGGTGCTGGTGAAGAATATTGAAGATGCTGTGCGCTGCCAAAACCAAACAAACAGATCTGTCTTGGAAGAAGGCTCCGCAGAGTTCTCCTTAAAATTGAGGATGGCGGGATTTGATCTCATGGACTTTGAACGTTTTACCGGAAGGGACCACTCCCTGAAAAAGGACACGCTTGCTCAAATAGACGGTCAGCACCCCAGAGGAAGGCCGTCAAGGAGATGGGTGACACAGTGGCGGCAGCAATGGGCTCAAACATGCGACGATTGGGAGGATGCACAGGACGGGGCAGTGTGTCATCCTGTGATCCAGAGGGTTGCCAGGAATCAGAACCCCTTCAGCGGTCCCTCACAACAGCCTCTCGGAATGCTCCTGAGAACGCAGGGTGGCAAGACTTCCCCTCACTGACGTGGACGCCATCAGCAAAGTTCTCTTCCGAGGAAAGGCCGTCACGCGAGGGAAAGCAGGGGGGTAGCACAACAGAGGCAGAGCCTCGAGGAGGGGGATCGGCACAGTGGCTGCCCCCACCGACAAGTCCGAACGTCACAATGGTGAGGATGGCGCAGCCCTGGGCAGGGGCGGTGTCCCATCCCGGTGTACAGAGGGCGCTGCGAGTCTGAGCCAACCCATTGTGCTGATACGTTGCCTGACCTTATTTATCCATCTTCGTTTATTGTCTGTAACTGACATCACGGGAGGCCCAGAGCTGTTTTCTAACCACTGACAGTAGCAGCGTGACATTCTCTTCGTTTTTTCCCCAGTGCGATCCAACGCCAAGCTCATCTGCAGAAGGTGTACCTTGTCTTGTCTTTGAAATCGCATTCTTGCATAGACATGCAAAGAACCCTCTAGAACAAATGTCCTTCTGGGTACATGAGGAAGAAGAGGAGTCTCTGGAAATCAGAGTAGGTTGTGAATGAAGGTCCGACCAACACTGGTGCCAAGGAATGCTGGGGGCACTGGCTGGCCTGGAACCCTAAGTGGAGTTCCCATGGTCCTCTTTCCTCTGCACCCCCTTGTCTGTCCTGGAAAGAGGAGGAGGGGCCAGCCGATGAGGGGAGTTTGAAGATCTGGGTAGAGGTGTTATCCAATTCCTCCCCCAGCCCCACCCCACGCACCCACATTGTATCTCTCCAGCTGCCATTCCTGGTTATCCCAGCAGGTGTCGCTGTGACCTTAACCATCCTTACAGGCTGTTGGCAAGTCCTTTGGGATTCCCAGGGGCTCCAAAAATGGGATTGGCTCTGAGGACCCCCATAAGGAAGCGCCTGTCCCGGAAAGAAGAGTCCTATCTTCCCACAGCCTCTCTCCCAGGTCTCTTTCTGGAAGGGGCTATGGCCCAGGGAAAGGACACCAACCAGTAGCCACGGGGACTGGGCCAGAGTCACGGAGGAGGATGACAAGAGTGACCGAGGGTGACAGAGAGTGATGGTGACGGGGTCCTTCCAGCCTGGCTGAGCCTTTCCTTCCATTGCACCTGAGATACCCTATGCCCCTCCTCTACTGCCCATTCGCCCCTTTGGCCCACCTGACCACCAGCCCTGGGCCTTGGGGGCAAATCTCAGAGACTGAGGGCTGAGCCCCTCTGTCAGAAACCAGTACACTGATGAGGGCCTGCCAGCCAGGGGAGGCCTGGAGGGGAGGTGGGTGCGGGCCCAAGAAATGAACTCTAAAGAGAGCGAGCACCTCCAGCCCGGCCTCAGGGGGTTGGTGTTGCCAGGGTTTGTGGGGGTGCTGACAGGTAAGCTCATCATTTGGGGGAATACTTCTGGAGTCCAGTGGCCTTCTGGAGAATCTTGTCCCCACAAGTCTTCCCCTCATACGTCTGTCGCAAACGAGAGGAGGGTGTGGGCAGGGAGGAAACTGAGAGGAGCGGGTAAAGGCTCAGGGAATCACAGGGGTGCTGAGTTGGTGGTGGTGTTTAAAACCAGGTTTCCCTGGGTGGGCGAGGGGGCCTGGTGGAAGAGTGGCGTGCAGGGAGGCAGACCTGGGCAAGAGTGACTAAATACGACCCACCACGAGTGACTGCTTCTTTGAGCCCTGGATCTTTTTCTTAATCCAAAGTCCATGGCGGTGGGGCTTGTCTGTTATAGGCGCTCAGCCTTCCGACCGGACAGCTCCGCCTACCTGAGCGTCCCAGCAGAACTTTCTCCAGGGCTTCTTCTCTCACCCAAACACACCTCCTACTGTGCCCTCACTCCCCTGCCAGCCTGCGTTCCCACAGGCACCACGCTCTGCCCAGGACACCACTTGGCCTATCTGGCGTCCTGGGGATTTAGAAGCCAGAGAGCAGGTCTGCCTTTGGTTATCGCCTCGTGGAGATTCCTTCTGGGAGCTCGCCTGGCCCAGGGCTGAGACAAAGAGAACGTGACAAATGAACTTGAGCAGGAACAAGAAGCAGAGGGACTAGGAGGGGAAGAAACCTCCCCGAGAGGAGGCCCCACAGTTGCTGGGGAGCAGCCTTGGCCTGCTCCTTGGGACACCCCGCTCTCCAGATGTGCAGGAAAGCCTCCTCCGGGCATGAGGACACAGGGGCAGAGAGGTAGTGGAAGGCACAGTCAGTCTTTGATTCTGTCTAGCATTGGGCTCTCTGGGTTTTTTCACACACACACCCCTCATTTTGCTCCAGGGGCTCTGAGGGCACCCCCACCAGGGGTAGCCAGGGGAGCTGGGCTGCCTGCTACTCAGAGCTCAGGGGGATCAAAAGCTAGGTGAGCAGCTGGACATAGGATTGGGTTTGCTGCCCACTCTTGCTCAACCTGCCTGACGGGCGGCTGCTGCGGCTGCTCAGGGGACACAGTCACGCTTGTAGGACCAGCTCTGGCCTGGCTGGCGTGGTGCCAGACAACGATGATCGATCCCAAGCAGGGGCTCCTTCTGGAAGTTGACTGATGGGTGAAGCAACAGGAATCCCAGCTGGTTGCCTTGGCTGAAAGGCCAGGTTAAGGCAGCGGCTGGCTCACACTGACTGAGACCCCACTTGGCAGCTCACGGTCAGAGACAGCAGGCAGTGAAGCTCTTGTTTTGTCACCAACCTCTCCCTCCATCGACTGGATGTCAGGAGCCACTGTGTGCTGTGCCCATGGCTCCTCTGGGAAGGACTCCATCCCCCTCTGCTCCAAGGACCCCTGAGCGTCCAGGCACAGCCTAGGGTTGCCCGGCCCCATGTGGGACTGGTGATGAGGGCGGGGGTCCAGAATGATGTTAGGGCCCCATCGGCACCCAGCCCAGCCAGGTTGAGGATTCCCAGACCCCTAGACACTCTCAGGGTTCCCCAGAGCCCCACCAGAACCTCTCTTTCATCGTGATGCCGTGGGGGGTAGGGGTGTCCACCAGCCTCCCTGCCCCCAGCCTCTGCCCAGCTAGTGGATTTCACCTCAGTGGCCAGGGCCACTGAATTCCCCAAGTCCCTCTGCGCAGTGACCCAGCCCCACCCCCGTTCATCCACAACCCCCAGGGCTGGGGCGAGAAGGGATCTCTATGGGGAGCTGCAGGGGCAGGGGGCAGGGGCTCCCCTAACTGCAGAGGCTAGCCTTACACAGCCAGCGACACACGTCCCCCTTTACGGCCGGGCCCAGGGCTTTCTCTCGGTGCTTAAAGGCAACTGTGAAAAGAGCAAGACTGGTTCTGGCCGCCTAGCCGTCTCCTGGCAACAGGCCTGGCAGGAGTTCTTTCTTTCTCTGCCCCCCCACCCCACTCCTCCCCTCCCCCTCCCTGTCTCCTTCCCCCTCAGCGTCGTCTTGCGTTGTCTATCATTAAAACTTCCCTCCTTCACAGACAACAGCCAGGCCCTTGGGGGCCAGTTTCCTCCGGGCAGCTCCGCCGGCCCTGGAGGTGGGGGCTCCCAGAGATCGAGCCCCCAGAGGGAAGGCTTTGTGTTTGGAACTCAGGCTTAGACTCAAGTTGGCATGGAGCACAGAAGGGCAGCCACAGAGACACCCCTACCCTGCCCGGGCACCTCTGCCTTCTCTCCCTCCTTTCCTCGGTGCCTACCCTGCCAACGGTGTCCCTGGGCACTGCCCAGTCCTGCTGTGAGGGCCTTGGAGCTGGACAAGAACAGGCCTGAACCTAGCAGGACCAGCCCCAGTCCCTGACTGCTCTGGATGGAAGGGATCAGGGCACAAAGGGTGGGGGGGGTGAGCGT